AGGAAACTGGTTGGCCTCACAGACAAGCGCTGAGTTTTAACTGAGACACGGCTGAGCGAAGCAAGTTTGGCTCTGAAACGCCTCATGACGGTGATCGTGTGCTCCGTCTGCTTTTACCAGAGGCAGGCAGTAAGTCCTTCACCGGAGCCTGGTGCTGGTTGGGAGAACACCAAGACTCAGTGCAGCAGTACTTCTCCGCTGTGCCAACAAGTTTGGTGGTGTTTGCACCCTCGCGCTGAACTGGCTGCTGGGGCCGGTCAGCGCGGCAGCCCAGCTGAAGCGCTCTCACAGCTCATCATCCATGGCCAGATTGGTAAGCCACGGAGCTGGGGACAAACACAATGAAACTCGCCTCGCAGCTTCCTCTCTTTTTTGCTCTTAAGGTATGCCGTTGTACTCCACACTCACAGAAATGGCGTCCATGGTATGTTCTAAGTTCACATCCCAAAACTACAGCTCCATTCTCTCAAAACAATAACAGAATATAACTAAATGACTGAGCAGTCAATCACACGATGGTGCTTTGGTAGCCGCGTCGGCTCATCACAGATTTCTTTACGTGGTTATGTCTGTCGAAGTTATCGAGTGCTCGGAAAGCGCTGAGAACGTCGTCGTAGAAGATAAATAAGGACATTTTTGAAGAGTGAAAGCTGCTCTAGCTGGGTCTCTGACTAAGAACACAGAGCTGGAATGAGCATCAGAGGTCGACTTTAAAGTAGGAATGTTTCGGATGAGGAAGCCTTTTCATACAATATAATAAACGGCCTCCTGCCTGCTGCTGATGAACTCACCCCTGCACTGGAGGTGAGGGGGGTGAAGATGGAGTTGAGCAGGATGTGGGTGAGGAGTGGGGCGAGGTAGCTGAGAGGTTGGTCGGCGTTGGGGGAGACGATGACGGTGTTGCATCCTAGAGCCACAGCTGGCCAGCTGTAGCGGTCGGCTGGAGACGGAGCGTTGTACCTCTTCCTCCGCAGCACCTGGAGACAGAGCGTGGAGGCGGAGTTTAAACATTCAGCTCGGGATAAATATCCTCCCTGATACTAATTATAACATCCCCCGTCTGTTTCACCTTCCTTGAACAAGAAGCTCAGTCAGCTTCCTCCTTTAATGTACTCAGATATTCTAATGTAATCTATATTGAAAAGACAACCACATTCTGAAGATGGTTCAAAGATAACAGAGACACATATATAGTCACATCTAGCCTCAAACTAAACTCTTGTTTACCCAGCGGAGAGCATCGGTGACGGGGGCATCATCCAGGCTGGTGTAGGGCTCCACGGGGAGGGCAGAGTGCACCAGAATCCCACTCCTTCTGGGATCACTGGGAACAACCTGAGAGCAACAAAAAACACAGAGCTTCATGGAAAAGAATTAGCAAATACCTTTTACTTAATGAATGTTTATTGAGGTCATCACCTACGAACATTTATGATGTTTATTTACAACATGACAGATAAACAACAGGCTCCTTCAGCGTCATGGATTCAGTCCAGCTGGGTTCCTTCAGACCACAACATTAAAAACAGTGTTTGTAAAGCTGAGAATGAACTGAGAGAAGTCACCACGTTGTCTGCAGCGTCTGCGTCTGGATCCAGGTTCTGGGGCTCCGGGTTCAACCACTCCAAGAGACTGCAACACACAGAACACCTCCGATATTAGTACTACTGGAAAAAGGCATTTATGAGTTTTTACAGACAAATTCAAACTCATTTTGCCTTTTTTACTATTTCAAGTTTATTTTACTTCATAATGCACTCATACTACTTTTGAATTCTGATTTTATTTGGAATTACTGCAGCATTAATGTGTTTGTTGCATTTTATTGCTTTACATGTTTAACTTTGTTGGGTAGTTTTGGTGCCTGTAACTGATTTAATTCCAGTCTTCCAGTCTTTCCTCTCCTCGCTGCAGCTCACCGTGCACAGGCCCAGTCCTCTTCACTCCTGCACGTCCTCTCTGCCTCAGCCGGTCCAGACTCTGATGGACTCGAGCTGCTGGGAAATAAAGAGTGGAGACGATGAGAGTGATCCACTGTTCACACTGTAATGTACCACACTGTAACAGAGAAAGGTTGATGAGTGCACAACTGTTTGCTGCACCTTGTGTTTTCATCTGCCGGACATTCAACCTGAGTGCTCTCACAAAGACCTTCAGCTCCACTTTGTCCACTAATCAAACACAAATCACACCAAAGAGTGAAGTTAAGAAGTTAACATGAACTAAAACAATCCACTCATTCATATTGACATTAAGGTGAGAGCATCCATCAGTCAGCTGCCAGCTTCCTCACCTCATACTGAGCAATGCTTGATTGTGCTGCGTTCCAGGTTCACTGTTGTATGAAGGGATTAATCTGTGTGACACAACGTGGATGGGAAATATTGATTATTACACAAAGTGACAAAGTGACCGTGAATTAAAGACTTAAAGCTCCATTCAGACTGGATTTATGTCTCTAGGGGAGGTGGGTGGATTTTAATATTCCTTGTTCAGTGAGAGAGTATGTGTGTTCATTTCAATCAGCCAGAGCAATGTTTAATTCATTTCATTTAGTTTTAAAGTGGATCTTAAAGAGCTGCTTGTTCTTCTATTTTCTTTTCAGAAGCTCAGTGTGGAAATTTATGGATGGATACCAATCAGATTTTAATGGTACTACTCTGCTTACCGGTTCGGTGCTTTAACGGTTCTCTTATCGGTTCTTTTTGGTATTTTTTTCACAGAAAGAAAAACGACATTATCGTTGCTTTATTTTCTCGTACTGTGTATAAATCAACATTCTTCACTACTGCACTTTACTGCAGGTGAGCCCTGATCGTTCATACGCTCGTTACATTCTAATTTATTGATAACCTTTAATGTTAGCAATCAATCTGATGTCCACATGATGCTTTAAACTCTCTCCTCAGTTCTGAAGCAGCTTTTTTCTGGGATTCCTGAGCTCAGGTTTGAACACACAGACTCACACAGCACCTCATATCCTGTAATTTCACTATGCTTTCAAATGAATTGAATGAATTAACTTCCAGAGAGCACAGTGGTTATTTTATTCCCCACCTCCCCCTGTAATCTGAACCCTGTCAGAACGGAGCTTCAGTTAACTGGACTGTTGAGGGCGGCGTACACTTCCTGTCCTGTGCTGGAGGCTGCAGTCGTCTCTTCAGCTCCACAGTCTTTGAGCTCTTCCTGTTGACTGACCTGGAAGAAAAACAAAGCAAACTAACTTTTGGTTCTTGGTTCATTCAGGAACTATTGAAATCTGTAGAGGTAAAAGCAGAAAGAACAATCACCGAGCCTTCCTCTCTCTAACTCTCTCTCGTCTTCTCCACCCTGATCGCCAAAGTCTACGTATGTGTGTATATTCATATCTATATATAAATGTCTTTATTGTGACTGTAAACTGAATTTACTTTTGCTGTTTTATTTCTATATCTTTAATTCAGCTGTTACTGAATGTCAAATCATTTGTCATCTTGTCGTCTTTTGTCTTCACGTTGTCACGAAAACAACAAAGACAAAGTTTAAATAATAAAACTGTCCAGGTGAGAGACAGGATGAAACCTCACCACCACATTTGTATGAAGTCCATTACAGTGAGGACAAACTACCTTCAGTTTGTCTTTGATCCAAAATATTCCCTAAACGGAGGGAATCATTTAGGAGCGCTGCATTAAGTCTCTCAGGTTGTCTCCTTGCTGTCCTCCTGTGTTTACACCTCTGTGGATCTGATCTAAAACAATGTAGAGGTTCAAATGTTCAAACTGTTCCAGATAATGTACATTACTCACACTGGGAGCCGCCTGCTGGCAGCTGCTGCCGGGATTCAGAAACTTCAGGAACCTTTTGGGGCACAGGAAGTACTCTGTCAGTATCAACCAATCACATGCTGTTGGTTTCAGCCAATCACAGGACAGGTGCTGTGTCTCACCTGAACAGGTGGAGGTTTTTGGTCAGAGCTGCAGCCAGAGACGAGTCTGTGTCCTCTGAGGAGTCACTGAACATGAGAGCAGCTCAGTTAACAACATTTACTGTAACAGAACTCTGATTCTCCCATAAACACAGAGTGCGCTCACCTCTCTGCAGCCACTGAGCCCTTCTTCCATTGTTCTCCTGCGACCTTTGACCTGCTGCCTTCCTCAGAGGTCTCGGGCTCCTGTTGTCGGCTCTGAAGCAGCAGAGAGGTCAGAGGTGAGGGAGAGTGGATATTTACTGCAGTCAGTTAACACAGCGAGCACAGCCGCTCACCTGAGGTGTGGAGGGAGCCGTCGGCCAATCGCTGGCTCCGGCTGCAGCCAGACCACGTGACATCACTGAGGGTCGAAGCACGTTATGAACATCTGTATCGGTTCCACGTCTTTAAAAGCAATTTCACTTTAAACAGTCACAACAAAAGGAACACCAACTTACCGGCTGGTGGTTGGGTTCGTGCTGTCGGCTTGTTCCAGGTCGGGAAGACGGTCTGGGTGAAGATCCTGGAGGACAACATGACGGGCAATTTGTCCAGCTCGTCCTGCCCGCCGCCGCCGCCGCCGCCGTCGGCTGACTCTCTGATGTAGAACGCCATGTTCTTGGCCACCAGGTCGTCGTTGGTGCAGATCTGAAGGAAACACACAACATCCAGCTGATGTGTGAAAGAACAAACTGTACGACTGTGATAACACAACATCCAACAACTGTCAGACATTAGAGAGAAACAAGAGACGAGGACGACTGGGTCAGCAATATGAAGATAAAGGAGCAGATGTTACGTAAGATATGATCCGTCCATAAGAGCTCCGTGTTCAAACGAATAACAACGAAGCTCCCAGTTCACCTTGATGTTCCCCACAGTCACGTAGAGCTCAATGGAGGTGGAGTCCGACTCGGATTGGAGCAGCACGGCTTCTGTCTGAGTGGATGCTGATGGAGGGAAGCAGATATTTTAGTTTAGGGCACATCACATGCTGCTGCTGAGATCTAAACTCTACAGAGAAAACACCACAGTCGTCGTTCATCTCTCTCGTGTCGGTCACCTTGCAGCAGGTTGTGCAGGTAGAGCGTAGCGGAGCTGTCCCAGTGAGTGGACGGACTGCAGAGGAAAAGAATGAGACACAAAGATCAAACAGGGGAGGCTGCGTGTGCTTCAGAGGGATTCAGGTTCAGGACTGGACCCTAACAGGGTCTACTGGGCTTCACTAATCCATCAACAGTTCAGGGGGACGCAGTGAGTCGGTCTTACATCAGCTCTGCCTTCTCCTCACAGACGGACACTCGCAGGGTTGTGGGTTTGATTCCCGCCAGGTGGAACCTCCTCACCCAGAGGTGTGCTCTCGGCTCGGTCCCGTCAAGGGATCCGACGTCGCCGGTTGCAGAACTTCCTCCGGCCTGCCTTTCTGGGGTGGGAGGAGTTCCACCTGGCGGAATCAAACCCACAACCCTGGCCGGAGGTGGGTCCGTCTGGGTGAGGAGAAGCAGAGCTGATGTGAAGACGACTCACTGCGGCTCCCCCTGAACTGTTGATGGATTAGGTGCAAGCCCAGTAGACCCTGGTTAGGGTCCAGTGCCTGAACCTGAACCCTGCTGAATTTAGATCTCATTCAGCAGGCAGTTGGCTGTGCCCTAAAACTAAAATTATTTCTGTTCCCTCCATTTCAGCATCTTACTCAGACAGAAGGCCGTGCTGCTCCAATTCCGAGTCGGACTCCACCCTCCATTGGAGGCTCTACGTGGACTGTGGGGAACAGGGCAAAAGGTGAACTCGGAGCTTCATTGTTTTAAGGTTTTGAACACAGAGCTTCTTTATGGGACAGATTCATATTTTACGGTAAACATTTCTGGGCTCCTTTATGCTTCATTATTGGCTGGACCAGGACTAATATCTGACCCACTCAGGCTCGAAATCTCTGCCAGTCTGGGACAGGGGATTTTCACCTTATTGAACATGCCATGTTAGTTAGGCTAAAAAAAGGAAAAGAGTTACATCTCATCTCATTCTTCATTCCGCTTATCCGGGATCGTCGTGGGTCCAGCAGGAGGGGCGCCCCCAGAACTTTCTCTTTCACTGGCAAATTCGGGCCAACTCTGCCTGGGGGGATCCCGGAAGGCCTTCCCAGGCCAGTGTGGAATATAATCTGCTCCACCTGGTCCTCAGCTCTTTTCCCCGGTGGGCTCCTCCCAGACTGGACCGTGCCAGGGAACACCTTTCCCTTTTGCGGCGGAGGCGCCCTGGAGCATTCCCTCACAGGATTGCCCCGAAACCATCTCAGCTGGCTCCTTTCTACGGCAAAGGAGAAGCGGTCTACTTCCGAGTCCTGCGGTGGGACCAGCTTCTCACCCTCGATATCCTGTCCTTGCAAAATCACAAACAGGTTCGGGTTGACAAAGCGCAGCCCTGGGTGGTGAGGCAACACGCCCACCCCGCGACCCACGAGCTCTCCCACACTTCCTCCCCCGCACCCCCCAAGCAACCTCCGACAGCAACCTGCTTGCTTTTGTGGGTGGAAGTACACGCCGGATTAGATGGGCTGCGCCTTAGAGTGGACCCCGCGCCGGCCCTGGCGACCCGCCATGACTTGCCCGCGCTCGCAGCGTTCCCACCCACGCCGCCCGGAGTATTTCCTTTCGCGGCGACCGCGTCTCCATCGCCACTCGGCCTCCTCTCAACATCCGCACACAAAAGCCACATCTACGACCCGGATTAGGCACTGCACTTCCCCACCCCTTCCGCCCGAACGGACCCCCACCCGCCGGCCGGCCGGCGAAGTCGAGACGAGTTCCCCCCCCCCCCGTCTGTCTGTGCTCTCACGACCGAGGGGACCCCCACAACCGCCCATGGCCTTCGCCTCTCCCGTCGATCCACACACACGTTCGGACAATCACCCCACCTCGGACCTTCTCCCGCGCTCCCTTCCCTCCTTACGACCTTCTCCCCAGGATCCCCCCCCGTGGCCCGTTGCCCCCCCCCAACGCCTCCGCTCGGCGTGACCTCGACGCCTCTGATCTCCTCTCCCCGCGCGCGCCTCGTCCGCGCCCGACCCCTGTCCAGCGGGCCAATGGTTTTGGGAGGAAAGGCCCCGGTCGTCACGACCACAGGACGCCCCTCGACCGCACCGCCACGCACCGCCCTTCAATCCGAAGTTCCCCGCCGCCCCCGCGCCTTCTTTCGCCACTGTGGAGTTGGTTCTCTCACCCCCTCGACGCCTCCGAGGCCGTGACCCCCCCCCCGCCCCCCTTCCCCCGCTTTTTTAAAGCGGACACCATTTTGACCTTGCATCCACCCTTCCGCCCCCACTCCCACCCACTCCCACCGCTCCCTGCCCTTCCCATCCACACGGAGGTTTCCCTCTGGCCTCACCCGCCCCAATTTTCACGACACGCTTTTTTTTTTTTTCCGCACACGGACCCCCGCCACTCTCGGGCTCTCGATGTCTCGGTTCCCCCCACCGGGCTCCCGACCACCACCGTGCATTCGCCGCGGGCACGAAGGCCTTCCGCCCCCGGCCCCCCCCACCCCCGTCCGGCTCCGGCCCCCCGACGTTGACGACCCCGCCCCTCCGGCGCTCCTCCCGGCCACAGGCCCCTCGCCCCCCTCTTCGTGCCACGCCCCCTGCATCGCTCCCCAGGTTCTCCGGCCCCCCCCCGCGCCTCCCGCCCATACCACTGTTTTTTCGCCGCCCCCGCGCGTTACCCCAACTCCCCCCGCCACCCCCACCCACGCCCCCAGTCCCCCCCCGCGTGCCGAGTGTTACAAGCCCTTCCTGCCGCCCCCGCCTCTCTTCTCTCTCCCTCGATGTCCCCAACCGCTAGTGTCGTCTGCACGTCCTGCATCTCGCAATCCCCCCCCCACGAAATCGCACCGAAGGCATCCGCCCCCGGTATGACCTTGTGTTGGTGGGGCCCGCCCCCCGCTCAACCCGCATTCTCTCTCCCCCCCCCCGCGGCCTCCACCCTGTAACCACTTGCATGGAGGCACTCCCGCGGTAATGGCTCCGACCCGCCAACCATGGTGGTCGCGTTCAGTGGACGAAGTCCATATATCGCAGCAGACGCAGATTTCCAGTAACAAAACATCCCGTCGGTTTCAAATCGGGAAGCCGTTCCTCAATCGACGGCCCTCCAATGCCCACATTGGTGCGTTTTAAAAGGTTCTCCCATGAAACGATGGAGCCCTACTGCGGACCCTTATACAGGACTTCATCAGGTCTCCAAGAAGGGGGCCCAATACTCTGAACTGCCCTGGTTTTGGTGCATTAGGCAACAAAACAACAGTCAGGGTTTCCCCCCCCTCCCCACAGATCATAGGCGCATGGGAGCCGACCCATCTTTGCTGCCAGGTGAACTCCAACGTAACGCTCAGGCCCAGGTTGTTTTATTTTTTTACCGCGACCCCCCAGGTGATTCTCCGTGAGTGGTAGGCGCCTGCAGAGGGGGATTGGGAAAAAAAAAAGAGTTAAGTTAAGTAAAACTATTAAAGTATTTCAAGTTTCTGACCTGGTAAAATCCTCCAACCAAATAAAAATGAATCAGACAGCGACAACAAGAGTTTTAATATGTTAATGATTGCAGCGTTTGCATTGGGAAAGACTTGGATCTCAGCTGACAATTACGTTCAGGTAAAGCTATCAACCAAAAAGACACAAACGACATGATTTAGTATTTACACACCCAATAAAATTGTCCATTTAATGGAAAAATCAAATGTTGAACTCCAGGGGGTGAGGTTTAAGACCTCCAACCCCTCACCTATAACCAACTGGGACTGGACAGCACACATTCCAGAAAAGGCCATAATAATGGTGAGTCATGTAGAACTAAAGTTTGAAATGAACATAGTTCTTGTTTAACTGTTAAAGTTCAAGTAATTGAAGCTTACTGCTTTAACTTTACTAACCAATGACTGTCTGAACTTTGGCCCACAAGATAGCAGTTTTGAGACTCTTTTCTGGACAGAAAATGACATGTTGGACAGCTGCTTGGACTGTTTGTGAAATTGTTGGTTCATTTTTGCGAATCTTGCTCAAAATATGCACATTACAGACTTTTTTAATGAACTGCAGAAAGAAAGCCATTTTATCACCTGTATTATATGAAATAAAATACATAAATATTGTCAATGACCTGTATATACATATTTTATACATTTAAATAATATAAATAAATATTATCAGGGATGAGTCAATATAGTTCACATTAAATAAATAAACAGGTTCAAGGATTTATATTTAATTAAATAAGGACTACTTTTATTTATTTCAGGAGACTTTTTTATTCAACACTATGTTTCCAGCTGTTTTATATGTTTTGGAGCGTCATATGCCAAATTATAAAAAACTCAAAAAAGATAAACAGAAAAAAACCCAAAAAAAAGTATAAAAAAAATAGAAAAAAAAAACAAAAAAAAAACCAAAAAAAAAATATAAAAAACGGGCCGTGGTTAACTTCAGTGGCTCACATTTTCTGGGAAATGAAATGATTATGAAAGTTTTTTTTTTCTGAGCGACAGCAGAGCCTGGCAGGTTCGAAAACAAGTCTCTTCTGTTTTCTCTCTGAAAAGATAAATTCAACTGCAACTCGATCAGGTTTTTCTTTCCACTAAACAGCAGAATTCTTGGGTGCCAAACTCCTGGTAGAGTCCACTGGCGGCCGGTACCAGGAGCTTGCTTTACAGTCTGTTATAGCACATACAAGATAGGAAGGGAAGCGAGGTCTAAATTTTTTCCAACAAAAACAATGAAACACAGCACATTAAAACTCAGTCCTGCCTAAAAGCTAACTGCCTAATCTTAGCTTGTCCTCTTAGATCCAAAGTAACAGGAGTACAGTATGTGATCATCTGACAACCTCTGTTATTGTTATAACAGGAATCAAAGTGAAAACGTTTACAGCTTCTAGATTTTCTGCTGTCTGGTCCTCTGGAGGCCAGTACAGTAACTAGGTTAATGATATTGTTACTGTGTTCTCAACAACGTAGTTAACACAAAAACCTGGCAGCTATATTCGTCACGCACAGGAAGTTCACTCATGGAATCCCATGATAGTGTTATATTATTATAGTTATTATATTTGTTTGTATAGTATTTGAACATATATTGTCGTATTACTCATTCTAATTTTAATATATATTATTTTTATATTATTATATTTGAATATGAGTATATTTAATGTAGTTGCGTGTGTAATGGATGAGAGTCAGATTATGTTTTTTATCGAGTTTTTAAAATTTTTCAATTTACTGCCACTGATTTTACAGGATTTAAATTTTTTGGATTTGAATATTAACAAGAACCAGCGAGGGACTGGGATGTTATTACTGCAATGTGTACAAACATCAGAGATTTGAATTCACTGCATTGATTTACTTCTTTTTAATATTATTTGGGAATGGACAAGCATGGTTAATAGCCAAATGCTTCAGTCATATCAGTGACTGCAGCAGTTAGATCAAACAGAAGTCCCCATTCAAATGCATGTAAAACCACAGAGACAAGATAACGGCAAAAAATACACCTCGACTCTCCTTTTATTTCAACTGGACTCATAGATCTTCATATTTTATTAACAAATAACCAAACAGAATGTTAACTTACAGTTTCTTTTCTTTTCATGCACACAACCCATCAACCACCAAAAGACCCCCACGCACCAAAACTCCACACACACTACAGAAAAAAATAAAACTAAGAAACCACTCTCCTTAGCATCACGCCCACAACAACATATCGTAAAACTGAACTATGAAAAACTAACAAAACAAAACCAGCACACTCACACCACGCAATATCCTACCATGCTACAGAACAACAAACAAAACACACCAACCACAACACACCCAACCCAACAATCCCAATCTTCTGAAAAACTGCCTCATATCAAACTTCGACCTCCAGTCTGCAACACCATGTGACCACCAACAACTTCTCGCAAACAAACCATGCCCATCACTGAACCTGGAATACTTAAATGTACCCCGCGTCAGACCACCCAAAGTAACCTCGTCCACCTCGGTCACCAACAAGGTTATTTCTACCCACCAAGAACCCTCAGACGCCGAACCAAATACACATAATCCTTTCATTACTCTGAACATGTTAGACACCCAAGAATTACCAAGACAGCTCAGCCTTCAACAGAAAAGCCAATGCAGCTCATGACAGCATCAGAAACGCCAACACAGATTCTCCAAACCACAGACAGACCGAAAACCCCAACCAAAAACAACAACAAACAAAAAACAGGCGACAACAACAACCACGACCCAACACAAAAACAACAACACCACGCCAACACCCCACAATAAAAAAAAGCACAAGTGTGGATGTGTGCTCGTGCAAACAACCCAAAAATAGAAGACACAAACAACTCCCGAGTGACCGCTAAAATCTGGATTCACCTGAACCTGGTGATAGTCTAAAATGTCGTGAGGTAATCAAATACACTACTATGGTCAGCGACTCACCCAAATTGGAAAAAGCAATTCAATCGTGGGACATACCATGCATCGCCTGAAAAGACATCAGCTGATCTAGATATCTTCC